GAAAAGAAGAGGAAGAGGAAGAAGAAGAGGAGGAGGAGGAAGAAGAGGAGGAGAAGAGGAAGAAGAAGAGGAGGAGGAGGAAAGAAAGGAAGGAAGGAAGAAGAAAGAAAGAAAGAAAAAGAAAGAAAGAAAGAAAGAGATAAAGAAAGAAAGAAAGAAAGAAAGAAAGAAAGAAAGAAAGAAAGAAAGAAAGAAAGAAAGAAAGAAAGAAAGAAAGAAAGCCAGCCTCTGGCTGTGGCCCCTGGGCTTGGAGCCTGGGAAGACTGGGGTGTGACCCACCCCTTGCCACCCCTCTGTCTGGCAAGCTAAGGAGAGGGATGTTTGCACAGATGTGTGGCCAGGGGCGTGTGAATGGTCTGGGGAGAGGGTGCGGTGCTGGTAAATTCCCACTCCACCAGGAATTCTGCCCCTGACTCCACATCTGCTAGAGGACTGGCCTCCTTGTTCCAAGATTCCTGGGAAGTCCTTCCCTCTGTCTAACTCTTCTCCTTCCTTGATTTTGGTTGCCCAGGCCTCTCTTCCAGAGCTGAAGAGCTGGAAACCCCTTCTACAGCCTCCATCCTTCTCCCCACTTCCACCCCAGGGACCTCTCAGCTCCATCTTCAAAAATCCCAGTAATGCGGTCGAAATTAAAGTTACCTTAACTATTCTAATCTTATAACAATTTTGCTTCAATCAACATCTAAATGTGACCACATGTGCCCAGACCACCCAGTGTCTTGGCTGGGGGGAGGGAGGGAGTATTCTCTTTAGGGGATGGCAGGCAGAGGTCTGCTCTCAGGCATGGCCTGGTCCTGGTGGGGGGCGGGGGGGCTGCTGGGGAGAGGTCTCCTGGTCACTGGGCCCTCCCTCTGCTCTCCTCTGGCCTTCTCACAATGAACAACCCTTTCCCCCTCCACCTTCCCAAGGGCAAAGAACATATTCTCCCCAGAAGGTGGGCTGGTGCTCTGGCAGGCAGGGGTGGGGGGAGGGCCTGGGGTGATGCTGCATAGACACGTGGAGGCAGGGCTGGCTGTGTGGGAGTCACAGGGGGCTTCCCACTCACAAGAGCTTGCTTTAATGCTCTGTTGGTTGCCCTGAAATTCTAACCATTTTTCTATCTTTTTCATTTCTTTCTTTTTCTCTCCTTCCTTCCTTCCTTCCTTCCTTTCTTTTTTTGGTGAGTCACAGGGCTTGAACTCTGGGCCTGGGCGCTGTCCCTCAGCTCTTCAGTTCAAGGCTGGTGCTCTACCACTTGAGCCACAGAGCCACTTCTGGTTTTCTGGCAGTGAATTGGAGATAAGAGTCTCACAGACCTTCCTACCTGGGCTGGCTTCCAACTAGATCCTCAGCTCTCAGCCTTCTGTGGAGGTAGGATTGTAGGTGTGAGCCACCAGCACCTGGCTCTTTCCTCTTTTTCTTTCTTTCTTCTTTCTTTCTTTCTCCTTCCTTCCTTCCTTCCATCTTTCCTTCCTTCCTTCCTTCCTTCCTTCTTTGTCGGTCATGGGGCTTGAACTCTGGGCCTGGGCACTGTCCCTCAGCTCTTCAGCTCAAGGCTAGCGTTCTACCACTTGAGCCACAGCGCCACTTCTGGCTTTTTCTGCTTATGTGGTGCTGAGGAATCAAACCCAGGACCTCATGTATGCAAGGCAAGCGCTCCACCACTGAGCCACCTTCCCAGCTCTCTTTCTTTCTTTTTCTTTTCTTCTTCCCAGTACTGGGACTTGAACTCAGAATCTCATTATCTCCTTCAGCTTTCTCACTTAAGGCTGGCATTCTACACCTCCACTTCTGGCTCTTTTGCTGGTTAATAGGAGACAAGACTTTTCTGCCTGAGCTGGCTTCCAACTATGATTCTCAGAGCTCAGCCTCCTGAGTAGTTAGGATTACAGGTGTGAGCCACCAATCCCCTCTTAACAATTTCTGAACAAAAACTCCACATTTACCTCTTGCATGGATCCTAACAAATTACATGGTTGTATGAAACATGCCCATACACTCCTCTTTTAATGGACCCTCTCCACCTCATACTAATAGCCAACACCTGCTCAATGAACATTTGCATTTCCAGTATCTACATGGTGCTAGAAACCTAGGCTAGATGCTCAAGATTCAGGAGTGAAAAACACAGACAAGCCTGGCTTCACAAAACTACCCTCTCTACACACTTACCCACATGCCCATACAGCAGGTGTGCATCGCACTTCCCAACCCATAAAGCTCATGGTAACCCTCACTGCCAGCTAGAGAATACTCAGTATGTGCCAAGAAATTTACATCCTCAAAACAGCCAGTAAGGTTCGCAGTATTATTCCCATTTTCCAGATTAAAAAGACTGAGGCTTCCCAGTCAAATCATTTGTCTGGTGTTTCGTAGTTCCTAAGTAGCAGGATCAGGACTTGTTTGTCCCTCATTTTGCTTTTCTCTCCTTCCCCACATCTCACATTCAGCGGTTTTCTGGAGCAGAAGCTCCCAGCACAGAGGGTAAGGTCTAGCTCATCTTCACATCCCCCGCCCCTTGGCATAGGACTGCAACTGTGTTCAGTGAGGGAGTTCACATACAGACATACTGCCTGAGGAACACAAGGAAATACACAGTTAAACATAAAAACACATATGAAACATGCAACGCATTATCTAGTGACGGCATTCCCTTCCTAGTTCTACAGCATACTTATATGTGCCTCATAAGCAACATGGAAGTAGCGGCTGCTGTGGCTGCTCATTCCTGGCACACAGCCACTCTGCCATACAAGTTAGCTGTGGCTATGATAACATGAGTCCCCGCTCACACAGGTGCTGGGTCCACCCGCGCTGTCCTCTCCGCCCTCCTCTAGCCTACTTGGGGTACAGATGTCCTCATGGCTGACAGTCCCAGGGGAGGTGACAGAATGAGCAGCTACTTTCCTGCATCCACCGGGGTGAGGGAGTACTGCTCCTCGCCAGCTCTGGATTCAATCAGGGAAGGCTTCCTGGAGGAGGCCTCTACCCCAGCTGGTTAAGGGAACCAGGTCCAAGCACGAGGGTGCTGCTGTCCCTCCTGTGCTCCTCAAAACACCCCCCAACTTCTGCTACAGCAGCGGCTCCACCTCCTTCCCACAGCAGAAACTTTCCCCTCTCCTCCGCCAGAGCGCAAATTGCCCCCAGGAATGTGCTGCATCCCACAGCTCCCCTGGCAGTGGCCAGCGGCTGTCCTGGGGTCAGGCCTGGCCCTACATCAAAGACTCGGGTTCGGTAACAGCATGTCTCCTCGCTGGCGGCCACCCTCCCCTCCCTCTCACCACCCCATTCGCTTCCAGGGAACAGCACATGGTAGCACTTAAGCACAGGAGGATGGAGGATGCTTTTCCTGCACCCCCCCCTCCCACGGGCCACAATGGGCTACTTGTTAGGAGACTATTTTAATTTTATTTAATGCGATTTCAGCTCCTAGGGCCTGTGTTGCCACTGCCCCATGGACTTACTTGGATGCCTGGTAGAAATTCAGGGGAGGCCAACCTCCCAGAAGGTGTAACCTGACTATGGAAACTTCATAGGGGTTGGGGTCTGGGGAAGGAAGGGGGCTCTTACTTCAGCGGCTGGGGCAGGGGGCCTGCACACCCATCCAGGAAGTGGTTAGGGTTAGGGGCGGGCTCAGAGCTTGAGAGTTTGGTGCGTAAGCGAGCCAGACATCTTGGCCAGTGAGCTCTTCCCATAGCCTGGGTTCAGTAGGCAAGCAGTCAGCCTAGCAGCTGTGTGAGCTTTGCTTTTGGGGGTCATGGCTGTGATTAGGGGAGGGGACACTCCCAGACTCCGATTTAGACTCTGAGATTTGCCCATCAGGTGCATCTTCTAGCAAATTCTGAAAGCCAACGGTCCAATGGTTCTTTCTGGCACAGTAGGGTGGTGATCTGGAGACCCCTGGTGGCCGACAGCTGCAGAGCAAGACCTTTTCTACAGCATCCGCTCTAGATATATATAAACTACAATCCCCCAGCTGCTGGGGTGGGCAGGGCTGAAATTTGTTGTTTGGAAATTCTAGAAGATGGGGTGTTTCAGATAGTCCTGCAATTCCCAGTCCCTTTACTTCCCTCAGTCCCTGTGTGACAACACACAATTGTGGAACCGTAGCTATGAAGGCTCCTTGTTTCCATAGCTCATCAACCCTGTAAGACTGTCCAAGTTTAATTCTAGGAAATACTCAAAATCTCACGCCACCTAAATGGCTAGCAGAAAGTAGCCTATAACATAGGGAGAAAGGTGACACTTCCTCCTAAAGAGAATTATATAGGATTAACTACAGAAAGCTTCCCACAACTGGACTCCGGCATTCAGTCCCTCAATCTCATTCATTCATTCACTTGGACTCAGTCTACACTGAATGCTAAGAATATAGTTGTCCAAAATAGAGGGCTTGTCATGGGGTCTTATAACTGTATGTGGAGTGGAAGGAGGGTTAAAGAAGCTCAATGAAGGAGGACATAAAAGTGACCACTTCTCTTTGGTGGCCTCCCCTCTAGAAACAAGTCCTCAACACACACTGCCCCCTTACTGGAATCTCAAGCCTGGTCCTACCCTCAACCAAGCCACACTTTTAAGTACAATATATTTTTAAGTAGCTCCCCTCATCCCAGGCCTATCTATTAACTTGGGCAAGGCCAGGAGTCTAGTTTTCCCTTACTCTGCCTGGATTGAAGGTGCTAGGCCAAGAATAGCACTACCAAATATAGCCGTAAACAGTCTTGCTTCTTTCAAAGCTCTGTAAGGCTGAGAGAAATCACACAATGACTTCTCTTCTCTCCCTAGTACTAACCAAGCTTCAGAAAAGCAATGCCATTGAGAGCATGAGCTTTGCAGTTGGCTCAGGTCTGAACCCTGGCATCTCCGCTTAGCAGTGGTATGACTCTGTGGTCTAAGAAAGGAAGAGCTCAATACAGTATGTGACGCACAGTGAGTGACACAGGGCAAGTACTCAACACGAGTTTAGTGTTTCTAGTCAAATCTTCCATGCTGAACAGAAAGAAACCAGGACGGGACTGGGATTTCACTCAAGAATGTGTCTTTATTGAAGAATTTATAAGAAAAAGGACAGACCCTCTGTAAAAAGAGGAGATGTTGCCTCCAACAGCAGGGGGAATAGGGCTGGGAGGCTTCCCAGAAGTCGGTGTTTCTGGTATGACTGGCTCCCATGTCCTGGCAAGCACTACAGCGTGTCACACTGCGCCGAGAAATTCCTACCCACACCCTGCTATCCTTCCCCCCAACAACCCCAGATTCCCTACTGCCATTTGTCAATGGCTTGACGAAGGCCAAGGAATAGATGTGCCAGGTTTGTCTCTCAATGGGGTCAAAGTAGATTTTGTGCTGGAAAATGTACAGGAATGTAAAATAGTTTGAGTTCTTTCTAGTCCAACCAAGGACAATTACATCCAGCCCCTTTGAAGGGGAAGGGAGTGAAGAATTTCCCTTCTGAATGTGCATACTTGTGGTGTAAATGGACTATACCAGTCTGCTCTTTATTAGCATGGAGAATGGAAACAAGGTTAGAAGAATATAGAACATCGATATTAAAGAGTCACTGAGTTCCAGGGAGCAGATGGAGCACTGAGCCTTTCTGCTTCCAAAAAGTCCTCCCGCTGGCTACCTCTTGTCCTGAGAATGGTCATTCTTCTCCAGCTGGGAGATTGTCTTCAATCCTTCTGATGAACCGCATCCGTATTTCTGTCACGCCATCTCCTTTCAGTGTGTCCTGGACAAACTTGGCCTCCACGGCCATCTGAACCTGGGGACAGGAGAGAAATGCAAGGGCAGATGCCACAGCCTTGGGGTAGGCTGTGCCTGACCCCAGAGCACTCAGAATGGCGGGCTGGTTCCCACAGGACTGCCAGCTCCAGCATCCCACTGCAGAAGACAGTGGTCCCAATAACGAGACTGTTATCATGTAAGCCAATCTAGGAGTAGGGAGTGTGTGGGCCTGGGCTGTGAGGACGGACGACACCACCTCTCAGCCCAGTAGGTCAGGATCACCACCATGGAGAGATGTTCCACTTGGATCCCATCTCAGCATCACTACCATCTCAGGCAGGAAAAGGCTGGGAAGAGCCAAAGCCCCTTTCTCTCATTCAATCAAACATTTTCCCAACCCTTACCACAGTTCAGATATCGCAAAAGGTAAAGAGCTGCACTCACCATCTCCAGGGCTCCCCGCAACACACCACACAAGAGATTGGAGTAAATAAGAGATGAGTGGTTATCAGGAAGTTCCACGAAGTCCACCAAGGGGTTGTTTTCCAAAATGAGGGAGAATTCATCACCAGCTGGGCTCCAATTAGTGATGCTTGGAGTGATGCCCAAGTACATCTTGAATGCCACCTATCAGAGGACACACAATAGCACTATGGGAAAAGGCCAACAGAAACAGCAATAAGGGCCATGCACTGGGGGCTCATGCCTGCAACCAACAAAACAAAAACAAGAAAGAGAGAAACTGTAGAGCTAGGAATCTGACTTAGTAGTAAAGTGCTTTCCTAGCATGCATGAAGTCCTGGATTTAATTCTTCAGCCCCAGGACTGGCCAAAAGAAAAGAGAAGGCCAGGGACCAGTGGCTCATGCCTATAAACCTAGCTACTCAGGAGTCTGAGATCTGAGGATCAGGGTTCAAAGCCAGCCCGGGAAGGAACATCAGTGAGACTCTAATCTCTAATAAACCACCAGAAAACTGGAAATGGCGCTGTGGCTCAAGTGGTAGAGTGCTTGCCTTGAGCTGAAGAGCTGAGGGACATGCCCAGGCCCAGAGTTCAAGCCCCATGACTGACAAAAAAGAAAGAAAGAAAAAAAAAAGAAATTGTAGTAAGGATGATGACCTGAGGGAGAGATGAAGCTCTAAGTTTTAGATATTCATGGCAAAAGGCAGAAGCACTGTATACAGTTCCACATGGCTCTCTTTCAAGGCATTATATAGTCAAGCAATAACTCACTCTCTGTGTAGAAAGGACCACCTGAGGGGCAAACATCCTGAACCAGCATCTGAGCTGAGCAGACAGGCCCCTAACCTCTCTGTGTACTTGCTAGGTAGGTACACCAATGCTGGACCATACCTTCAGCTAGGGACCCACATTCTTGAAAGTGAATAGTCACAAGTGGAATTACTCTCAAGATATCTTTATCTACCACTCCTAATCCTCCCCTCCCCTCATAAAGCTTTCTTCACTCTCAATCCTCTTTAGGATTTGAGTATGGCCAGCATGCTCACATCTGAAGGAACGATCCTTTAGGTAAATGTCACAGCGCTAGAGGTGTCATGCCATTTAACAGCATAATGTACAGCACTAGTATTAACAATAGTAATCACCGTATGTGCAATACTACTACATGAAGCGCATTCATTTTACCTGAATGCTCATGCCTGTTATTCCTTACAACAAAACTTTTACTTTCTTCATTTCAAGGTAAGGTAACTGCCAATTAAAGAGGTTAAAATAAACTCACTGAGAACCCAGAACCAGTAAATATTGGAGCTAGAACCTGAAGCCATGTTTCTCTGAGATCTGTATTCTTTTTGTTTGTTTTTTGGGGTCCGGTCATGGGGCCTGAACTCTGGACCTGGGCACTGTCCCTCAGCTCTTCAGCTCAAGGCTAGCGCTCTACCACTTGAGCCACAGCACCACTTCCGGCTTTTTTCTTTTTGCTTATGTGGTGCTGAGGAATCGAACCCAGGGCCTCTGGCATGCAAGGCAAGCGCTCTGCCACTGAGCTACCTTCCCAGCCCTAAGATCTGTATTCTTACTCCCCAAGCTACTCTACTCCATCTCCATAGTGAAGAGTTCCAGCTTTAATCCACAGGGATGATCCAAACATTCGTCCCTCTTTCTTTCTTTTCTTTCTTTCTTTTTTTGGTTGTGGGGCTTGAACTCTGGGCCTGGGTGCTGTCCTTGCACTCTTCAGCTCAAGGCGAGCACTCTACCGCTTGAGCCACAGTGCCACTTCCGGTTTTCTGGTGGTTTATTGGAGATAAGAGTCTCATGGACTTTCCTGCCCTGACTGGCTTTGAACCGATATCCTCAGATCTCAGCCTCCTGAGTAGCTAGGATCACAGGCGTGAGCTACTGGCGCCTGGCATTCGTCCCTCTTTCAAGGTCTGTTATTCCCACCCCACTGGAGTGCTTGGTGCTTCCTTAGCCTAAAGAGATGCCCAATTGGTCTTGGGGAGATTAAGGAGCTCTCACAGGGAGACAGAGAGCAGTGAGCAGTGTTTCCCAATGGATATCCTTTGGCATGGCCAGGTGGCCCAGGATAATAACCTTGGCAATGACATCTGCAGTTTCCCGAAAGTCATGGCATCTCCCAACATTTGACCGTGCCAAGAAATCTTCAATCAGCCGAACTCCAATGTTATAGCCCCTGGGAAGGAAATGAGAGAACAGGCCGTTAGGGGGCCTAAATGTCTTAGCCTACAAATAAGACTGTTATTTATATAGGGAAAATAGGGATAATCTCAAAATATCCCAATAAATGAGCTCAGTGGAAACTGTACCCCAAACTTGTCAGGGCTGTAAAGGATGATGCAGACAGAGTGCTAGGGAGCCCCACTCCTATCTCTCTGTGAAGGCGCTCACTCACATTTTGTCCAGCTGCTTATTGACATCTTCATCATTTTCATAGTCCTTGCACAGTTGAGTGACAAGAGCCCCATAGGTCAGGGTGAAGAGCTCAGAGCTCTAAAAGAGATTCAAAAGGCAATCAGGACCAAGCAGAACAAATGGGAGGGGATGGTGAGAGTGTGGACCGACCTTGATACCACTACTGAGGAAGGTCACCAGGCAGCCTATGCCTACAAAGAAACACCACCACTGTGGAGAGCCTGGGGGATGTGGCCCTAAGTCCACAGGACAGGAACCTCATTCTCTGGGCAGCCACTCTCACAACACACTTGCCAACCTAAATCTCCTCCACAGCTGCCAAGGCTAAGTATGGTCACCTGAATCCAATGTGGGGGTAGTTACTCATTAGACTCTGTGAAAGATGGGCCAGAAGCAGACATTTACAGACTCCCTCTGTAGTGTTGCCAGGTGTGACCAATGGTTTCCCCATATCATAGGCCCTGGCCCAGAGTTAAGCCATTTTGCCTCCCATAATAAAGTACAGAACAGAAATGACTCCCACTGTAGAGAAGAGGACACTGAGACCAGAATAACTAAATAATCTGGCCAAGGTTAAACAGCTAATTATTGACAAAGGTTAATTCTGAGGGACAAAACCCCAAAATTACCTTGCTAGAGTTTATTGTATCCCACCTCAACAAAAACAAACAGGAAAAAAAAAAAAAACCTAGATGCACTAGAGTCAAAGAAAATCAATTCTGGTATTAGGAAGCTCTTTGAACTCAACTAAAACAGTCAGACCAGGGTGTCTCCAAGAGACATTTACCAAATATGGCGATCAAAGAGAAGCTATTAAGGGGGGAATGATTTTTTAGTAAAGTCAAGTGCTTGGCACCAGAATGGCTTGGGCATGAATGGATGGAGACAATCCAGCAGTTACCAGTCCGAAGAGTTGGCGCTACTACATTAAATCAGGAGAGCTTTCCTTCCATTATTAATGAGCCCTTGGATGGAGACAGGAGCCTCCAGCTGCCATGATGCCAAATAACATGCAGATCACAGGGCTACCAAGCACCTGCTGTGTGGCTGCCCCAGTTTACCAACAGGGAAAGTCAAACTCCTGGACAGTGATCCATGGTCACAAGTCAATATGCCTGGCATCTGGGAATGGAATCCCTCAACCAGGTTCTCCACACACACTGTTAATTTGCAAGTCTGTCTCTGTCTTCAGTCATGAACCAAGCCAACAACATAAATACATAACTTAAAGGTCTTTGTGCCAGGCACTGGTGGCTCACACCTGTAATCCTAGCTACTAAGGAGTCTGAGATCTGAGGATTGCAGTTCAAAGCCAGCCAGGGCAGGAAAGTCTATGAGACCCTTACCTCCAATAAATCACTCAGAAAACCAGAAGTGGCACTGTGGCTCAAGTGGTAGAGCACTAGCTTTGAGCTGAAGAGCTCAGGGACGACACTCAAGCCTAGAGTTCAAGCCCATGACCGACAAAAAAAAATAAAAGAAGAAATAAAAGGTCTTTGTACTTACAAAATAGGAGTGGTACTATGGCTCATGCCTATAATCCTAGCTACTCAGGAGGCTGAGAGCTGAGGATTGTGGTTCAAAGCCAGCCTGGGCAGGTAACACTATGAGACTTATTTCCAATTAACCACCAGAAAACCAGAGTGGCGCTGTGGGTCAAGTGGCAGAGCACTCTCGAGCTGAAGAGCTCAGGGAAAGCACCCAGGCCCAGAGTTCAAGCCCTATGACCCATAAAAATAGTAATAATAATAATAATGGTCAGTAATACTTCAAAATTTTCAGAATGTCTCGTGATAGTTTCTCACTAATCACAAGTCTCAAGGTTGGCATAACAAGCATTATATTTATTATACATTTTACAGATGACAGGCTAAGAAACATTTTTCAATAGCCTCTTGAAAACTGAGCCCTGTACTAGAAAAATCTTTGTTACTGGCTGGGAGTGTGACTCAAGTGGCTGAGTACCTGCCTACCAAGTGTGAGTTCAAACATCAGTACTGCCAAAAAAAGAAAAACAAAAACCTTCTTTGTTATCCTAAGCCACTGTGACCATACTTTAAAGTTTTTCTCATCTGTAAAATGATGACATTCTCCATCCTACAGTGTTACTGGCTGCTGAGGGGTAGGCTCCCAAAGGATCATTGTCACAACCTGGTGACCACAAAGAGGATCATGTGACAAGCTCTGAGTAGGCACCAAGCAAGTGAATGAGACAACAAACTAAAACCATCATTCATTCAACTGTGTATCAGATGACCAGTGTCAGGCATCTAGGTGCAAGGAATGGAACCAAACAAATCCCTGCCCTCCTCCTTTACATTCTCATGGGGAAGACTGAAAATAAACAAAGGACTGTATCATTCATAATGAAATACTATGTAAAATTAAAGAGAGCATATTATGAAGAAAATGAGCAAAGAAGGGACAGAGAAGTAGGCAGGTTGCCAGGGAAGGCTTGTTCTGAGGATGTTAACAACTAGGTAACCGAATGAGATGAGAGTGGGCTAGATGATTATCTGAGAGAGGGGAGTTAAGCAGAGAAAATGACAGTTTCAAAAGCCTTGAAGATGAGTACAGTGCTGCACTTCTCTACCTCGTTTCAGGAAAGAGGGGGAAGGTGAAGACTTGCAGGCTCATGCTAAAGTGAAAGTAAATAGTTCAATACTGGGGCTGGACACATTGGCTCACATCTATAACCCTGGCTACTCAAGAGGCAGAGATAAGGAGGATAGAGGTTTGAAGCCAGGTCAGGGAGTGAGAACCTCATTTCCAACAGGAGTTGTGGTAGTTCATGCCTGTAATCTCAGCTGCACAGGAGGTAAAATAGGAAGATTAAGGTCTGGGCCCCTGCTCTGGCAAAAACACAAGACCTTACCTGAAAAATAACTAAAGCAAAATAGGGCTTGAGTGTGGCCCAAGTGGGTAGAGTGCCTAGTTAGCAATCACAAAGCCCTGAGTTTAAACCCCAGTATTGAAGCTGGGTGCTGGTAGCTCACACCTGTAAACCTAGCTACTTAAGAGACTAGGAAGATAGTGGTTCAAAACAGGCCAGGCAGGAAAGTCTGAGATTCTTTTTTTTTTTTTTTTTGTCGGTGGGGGGAGCCAGAACTCTCGGCCTGGGATAACTCCTGAGATTCTTTGTTTGTTTGTTTTTGTGTTTTTTTGTGTCTGGTCGTGGGGCCTTGAACTCTGGGCCTGGGCGCTATCCCTCAGTTCTTCAGCTCAAGGCTAGCACTCTACCATTTGAGCCACAGCGCCACTTCTGGCTTTTGCATATGTGATGCTGAGGAATTGAACCCAGGGCCTCATGCATGCAAGACAAGCACTCTACCACTGAGCCACCTTCCCAGCCCCCTCTGTGAGATTCTTTTTTTTGGGGTCCAGTCATGGGGCCTGAACTCTGGGCCTGGGCGCTGTCCCTCAGCTCTTCAGCTCAAGGCTAGCTCGCTACCACTTGAGCCACAGCGCTACTTCTGGCTTTTTTTTTTTTTTTCATTTTGCTTATGTGGTGCTAAGGAATCGAACCCAGGGCCTCAGGCATGCAAGGCAAGTGCTCTACCACTGAGCCATCTTCCCAGCCCCATGAACAACGGATTTTTTTTTTTTTTTTTGTCGGTCGTGGGGCTTGAACTCTGGGCCTGGGCGCTGTCCCTCAGCTCTTCAGCTCAAGGCGAGCGCTCTACCACTTGAGCTACAGCGCCACTTCCGGTTTTCTGGTGGTTTAGTGGAGATAGGAGTCTCATGGTCTCTGCTGCCCGGGCTGGCTTTGAACCACGATCCTCAGATCTCAGCCTCCTGAGTAGCTAGGATTACAGGCGTGAACCACCAGCGCCCCACCTCTGTGAGATTCTTATCTCCAATTAAGTACCAAAAAAAGCTGGAAATGGAGCTCTGGCAACAGTAGAGTGCTAGCCTTGAGCAAAAAAGTTCAGAGATAGTGCCCGGGCTCTGGGCTAATTAAAAGTACAACACTGATTTCAGGTAGAAAAAAAAAGATGTACAAAAATGAGAAAATAGTGAAGTAAGGACTAGCCAGGCACAGTGGCTCAGGTATGTAATCCTAGCTACTCAAGAGGCTGAGATCTGAGGACTGCCATTCAAAGCCAACCAGGCAGGAAGAAAGTCTATGAGACTCTAAGCTCCAATAAACAACTCAGAAAAAGTGGGAAGTGGCTCCAATGGTAGAATGCTAGCCTTGAGCAAAAGAAGCTCAGGGACAGAGCCTTCAAAGTCTCCGCTCATATAGGAAAAGGAGGAAAGAAACACAAATCCCTTGGATTTTCCACTAGCTCATCTCATCTTAGGTAGGCAACGCGCAACCATTTCATAGATAAGGAAATTAATAATCAGTTGATGGGCTGGGAAGGTGGCTCTTGATAAGCAAGAATTCTAACCAAAGTCAAAACTTTCTCCTTTACATAATTACATGTTTCTTAGCAAAACAGTCTCTTCTTTTAAATTACTGATACTTCCTAAAAACATTGAATTTTCTTCCTGTCTTTTCTTTCTTCCTCTCTCACTTTCTTTTCTTGGAGGTGGGTGCTAGGGATCAAACTTAGGGCCTTGTGCATATGACACAAGCATTCTACTGATGAGCTACATTCCCGCTCCTAGGTAGGACTTCTCAACCTGTAATCCATGGATTTATTTTAGGGGGACCATAAGTCTCTGGAAAATGTAAGTAAATGTGTGTGGGATTTTTGTTTTTGCATTGCTGAGGATGAAACTCCATTTCAGTCACAGTGCACGTTTGTGTATTTGTTTTTATCTGGGTTCCTCCCCTCCCCTGGTTGTGGGGCCTGAACTCTGGGCCTGGGTGCTGTCCCTCAGCTCTTCGGCTTAAGGCTAGCACTCTACCACTTGAGCCACAGCGCCACTTCCAGTTTTCTGGTGGTTAATTAGAGATAAGCGTCTCATGGACTTTGCTGCCCGGGCTGGCTTTGAACTGCAATGCTCAGATCTCAGCAACCTGAGTAGCTAGGATTACAGGTGTGAGCCACCAGTGCCTGGATGTATTTAATATTTCTGGGGAAAGATTTGATGTTATCATCAGTTTCTCCAAGGTGTCCAAAAACCAGGCACTAGTGGCTCATGGCTGTATAGCTACTTAGGTGGCTAAGATCTGAGGATCATGAATTGAAGTCAGCCCAGTCAGGATAGCCCATAAGACTTTCTTCATCTAACTACCAAAAAAGCCAGAAGTGGAACTGTGGCTTAAGTGAGTACAAAAGCTCAGGGACAGCACCTAGGTCCTGAGTTCAAAGCCCAGGATTGACACAAAAAGAAAGGTATCAGAGAAAGCACAGATATAACAGCAGGCTTTCCCTGAAGGTTTCCCATTTCTTGGTGGCTGTTGCAGGTTTAAGATGGAAATGGTGTGAGGAAAGTTTAATCATTCTGTCTAGATTAGTATCAACACAGGCTCCCTGGTATGTCCAGCATGCAACCTCAGAAACTGGGTTGCTTTTAGTCTTTGGTGCTGGGGATTGAACCGAAGCCTCCTGCATTTTCTTTTTTTCTTTTTTTTTTTTTGTCGGTCGTGGGGCTTGAACTCTGGGCCTGGGCGCTGTCCCTCAGCTCTTCAGCTCAAGGCGAGCGCTCTACCACTTGAGCTACAGCGCCACTTCCGGTTTTCTGGTGGTTTATTGGAGATAGGAGTCTCACGGTCTTTCCTGCTCTGGCTGGCTTTGAACTGCGATCCTCAGATCTCAGCCTCCTGAGTAGCTAGGATTACAGGCGTGAGCCACCAGCGCCCGGCTTCCTGCATTTTCATTCTATCTCTGAAGTACACTCTCAGGCTCAGAGACTCAGTTATTAATCCCAAAACCAAGTTCTACAAATAAGAATATGCTAAAGAAACCGGGTGCAAGGGCTCAAGCCTGTAATCCTAGCTATTTAGGGGAAGGCAGAGACTGGGGATGATAGTTCAAGACCAGCCTGAGACATGTCATCTCAACCAATGGCTGGGAGCAGTGATGCACACTTGTTATGCCCAACAACTGTGGAAGAACCAGCAGGCGGATCATCACAGCCTGTTGGGGCATAAGGTGACACCCTACCTCAAAAATAACAAATGCAGCTGAGGTACTGGTGGCTCAGGCCTCTAACCTAGCTACTCAGGTGGCTGAGCTCTGAGGATCAAAGCCAGCCGGGGCAGAAAAGTTCTAGTGGGAGACTCTTATCACCAATTAATCACTCAATCAAAAATAGTGCTGTGGCTCAAAGTGGTAGAGCACTAACCTTGAGCAAAAAAGCTCAGGGACAGTGCCCAGGCCCTGAGTTCAAGCCCCACGACCAGCAAAAAATTTGTTAAAATAACAAATGCAAAAAGGGGCTCCATTGGTACAGCACCTGCCTAGCAACCATGAGGCTCTGAGTTCAATCTCCAGTACTTTGGGGGGTAAAAAGCCAAAGAAAAGGAACACCTGCCATGAAAGCTACTTAGCTTGAAGAAAAATATTATCTACCTTACTCTGTAGAAACAGCCCCAAGCCCAAACTTTAGGGCAACAAATGGTGTCCCCGTATTTCCAGGACACGAAGGTTCCTTTGCTACCCTCCTCTCCCCAGTGGAGGGGCCCCACTCACTGCTGATTCTGGCCCACCTTATTTCAGGAAGTTCCCCTTAACAAGACCAATGTGTGAGCTCATCCCACCATGCCCAGGCCATTGTGAGCGCCATTACCTCTGGAATTGGAGAGACAAGGGCTCCGATCCGAACTCTTCCTAGGTGTAAATTGAGGCATTACATAACCTCTCTGAGCGGCAAAAAGGCATAACATCATCCACCTCGTCAGGTTATTAGGCGGATGAAATGAGATCAAGTGCGTGGCCTGGTGCCAAACGCTCCGAGACCAGAAGTGGTAGTTACTGTTATTACCGTCGCTGTTGTTGGTCTAGCATAGAGTGGCATGCAGGGGTCGGAGGAGGGGCGTCTCCACAGGCTGCGTAGAGGTCGGGGTCTATTCTACGATCCCTGCCCCGCCCCAAGCGCGACCCCCGCCTCTCCCCCGCGCCGGGCTGATCCACCCGGCGACCTCCTCACCTCCCGCACCGCGCTAGGCCCCACCCCCGGAACGCCTCGGTTCCGCCCCGCCCGCAGGGGTCACGCACTCCAAGTTACCATTTTCTTGCTCTCGGTACCACGGTTCGCCTGTCTCGACATGGTGCCGGCTACTCTGCGCCGCGTCGCCTCGCCGAAGACCTTTCTAGTGACCCCTCTGGACGCAGCTTCAACCCAGACACAGCCTCTGAGCTCCGGGGTTGTGCGGCTTTTCCTGACTGCGCTTGCGTGACCTGCCGCGAAGTACCATGGGACTTGTGGTCCAGCGGACCGCACACTACAACATCCTACAGGCTCACCGGAAGCCCCGCCTCTCGTGCAGTGAGACTACAACTCCCGGAACACCACGCGTTCCAAGCCCTGGTCCATTAAACTACATTCTGGCCGCTAGGTGGCGTCCGCAGCTTGCGGTAGTCCTCCACCGTCCACGCACGCTGTCGCTCTCCGCGCCCTCCCCCAGGCCTGGCTCAGAAATGATTTCCAAATTCCTCTCTCTCGGGTTGATCTTGCAAAGTCGCTTTCAAACTGACTTCTTTCTCTGTGGCTGCAATTCAACTCCAGAATCTCCCAAGATATCCTTAAAAAAACAAAAACCACGAAGCCGAGCTCGGTGCTCACGCCTGCAATCCCAGCTACTCAGGAAACTAAGGTCTGAGAACCCCAGTTGGAAGCCACCTGTGCAGTAAAGTCTCTGAGAATCTTCTTTTGTCGGTCGTGTGGCTTGAACCTGGCCTGGGCGCTGTCCCTCAGCTCTTCAGCTCAAGGTGAGCGCTCTACCTCTTGAGCTACAGTGCCACTTCGGGCTTTTTCTATTTATGTGGTACTGAGGAATCGAACCCAGGGCTCATGCAGCCTTCTACCACTGAGCCACCTTCCCAGCCTCAAGTCTTTGAGACTCTTATTTCCAATAAACTACTCAAAAAAAAAAAAAAAAAGTGGAAGTGGCTCTGTGGCTCAACTGGTAGAGCGCTAGCCTTGAGCACAGAGAGGCCAAGGGACAATAACCCAGGTCCTGAGTTCAGTTCCAGGATTGCCCCCCAGAAAACAAACAAAAACGCACAATGGCTCATTTTGGAGATCTAGCTTCATTATAAAAGTTTTGAAGGGGGGACTGGGAACGTAGCTCAGTGGTAGAGTGCATGCCTTGCAAGCATGAGGCCCTGGGTTCGATTCCTCAGCACCACATAAACAGAAAAAGCCGGAAGTGGCGCTGTGGCTCCAGTGGTAGAGCGCTAGCCTTGAACTGAAGAGCTGAGGGACAGTGCCCAGGCCCAGAGTTTAGGCCCCATGACTGGCAAAAAAAAAAAAAAAGTTTTGAAGGGCTGGGAAGGTGGCTCAGTGGTAGAGTGCTTGCCTTGTGTGCATGAGGCCCTGGGTTCGATTCCTTAGCACCACATAAACAGGAAAAAAAAAGCCAGAAGTGGCACTGTGGCTCAAGTGGTAAAGCACTAGCCTTGGCTGAAGAGCTGAGGGGCAGTGCCCAGGTCCAGAATTCAGGCCCCATGACCAACCAAAAAAAAAAAAAAAATTTTGAACAACAACCTACTCTGTGGTCAGGCATTTTGTTAGTGAGTTTCTCTTCCTCTGCCATCTGTTCCCAAACCCCAAATACAGCCACCACCTGCATCCTACCACCTTTGGTCTCCTGATGAGAGAGCCAGTCTTTTAGATAAAAGTTCAAGTTGCAGGCTGGGAAGATGGCTTAATGGTAGAGTGCTTGCCTTGCATACATGAGGTCCTGGATGCGATTCCTCAGCACCACATAAGCAGAAAAAGCCGGAAGTGGCACTATGGCTCAAGTGGTAAAGCATTAGCCTTGAGCTGATGAGTTGAGGGACAGTGCTCAGGCCCTGAGTTCAGGCCCCACAACCAACCAAAAAAAAAAAAAAAGTTCAAGTTGCTTTCTCCCCTTGCCTCTCCTAGAACAGCTACACTGGCTGGCTCCCAGAAAAGAACGATCACCCGCTGTGATGACAGTCAGTGCTAAGTTCAGATCCTAGCCTTGCCATCTGAGGCCAGTTGCTGAAATGAAATGTGCCTTCAGAACTGAGCACTTAAGCCCGGTGCTAGTGGCTCACACGTGTAATCCTATCTATTCAAGAGGCTGAGATCTAAGGATCGCAGTTCAAATCCAGCCCAGGCAAGAAAGTCCATGAGACTCTTATCTCCAATAAATCACCAGAAAAAAAGAAGTGGTGTTGTAGCTCAAGTGGTAGAGCGCTAGCCTTGAGCTGGAGAACTAAGAGCTGAGGGACAGTGCCCAGGCCCTGAGTTCAAAAGAAAAAGAACTGGGCCAAGTAAGTATGGATCCTCTTTCTTCTGGCCACCTGATTAAAACAGCCAATAAATGCTGGGGAATGCGCTGGTTGAACCCTCACCTATCACTAAGGGGAAGTCTTGCAGTTATACTCACTAACAGTGCTTTTGTTTCAGCTCTAGTCATTTCTCTTTCGTGGTCATTTCTGAAGGGACTAGACTGGGGATTAAGGACTCTGAGCACCCTCTCCTCCCTTCAGCCTGGTAGCAGCTGCATTCTAACCCCTAGCCTTCATCATGACAATGAACCTGTCCAGACAAGAGCTAGCCAGACTGGGGGAAGGCTGCGGAGCCCAGGGTTCCCCTCAAGGCCCTCTTTGAGAGTGCGAGACCAATCATTATTATACCCTTTCTGCCTGCAGCATAGACTTTCTGGGGCCTCTGTAGAGTCAGTGATCCCTGATTCTCCCTCTTGTGTCATGTCTTCAGGGGAGGGAGGGCCAAAGGCTGGGGGCTCTGGGAAGACACAGGAGGGCTGGTGGGAGGGGAGTAGAGGAAAGCAGGGGTCTGCTGGCCTCCCAAGACCAGCCTCCTCCTACATTCCCAGGAGAGGGGACAGCTGAGGTGAAAGCTGCAGTTGGCCAGCTTGAGTGTGGGTCTGGGCTCCTCCCAGCCGGCTGCCTGGGCTGCCCACAGAAACCTGAGTCACTGTCACAGCCAGCTACCGGCTCCACCCAGCATGTTGTCAGGCTGGGCGGTGCTGGAGAGACTAGAGGTGGAGCTTCTCCCTGCCTGGCCCTCAGCCTCTGAGATTCTTCCTCTCTTGGCTTAGCTTTCTCTTTGGGGCTCTTGGGACTAATTCAGAACGAATTCCTGAATTAGGAGTGAGGGTGCAGCTTCTCTATTGATCTATAGGGGCTCCCTCTTTTCTTAGACTGAAACTGAATGCCTTTGGGGGGTAGATTGGCTGGAGAGTAGAGTTCATACTTTATAAGGGCAAGCCCTTGGGTTTGATCCCTCTTGTGCACAAAAGCTTGTACATGCCCATGTGCACACGTGCACACTCACACACACACTCCTTAAATAGTAGTATGCAGATAATTCTTGGTACCATTTCTATCATTCTCAAATCCCAAGCATCCCCTCCACTTCTAGGGACCAAGACATTTAGGAATACCAGTCTCCCTCTCCTCATCCTCATCTTTGCCTCAAGGGGGGAAAAAAAACAGCTGGATAAACGTCATATCTTTATTAGGGGGTCTAGACAAAGGCACCCAAAGGGTCTAATCTATACTCCTGAAGTTGAATTCCTCCTCACGCTCCATTCCTTCTCTGTCCTTTCTCCTCCCTAAGAGCTAGAGGGAAAGAGGCAGCTGGTGTTGCCCCTGCCCTGGAGGACCATCCCCACCTTGGGTCAGAGGGCCCTAGAGGCTATGGCTCCTGGAAAGTTAATCTGGGTTAGAGACCCTTTCTTAGGGTTGCTGCCTGGGGGTTGGGGGTGGGGTGGGAGAGCTAGTTTCTGACCTCTGTTCTGTTCTTTCTGGTGTCCCCATTAGACTCCTCCTACTTCCTACTTCGTGGGTGTGGAGGCGGCACCCAGAGCCTCCATCCTGAGATTGTAATCACTGAGTCAAATCTCCCAGTAATTTCCTTTTGCTCTCTATCAGGTTCACCCTGGATCCCATCCCACCAAATTTAGAAAGCTGTAAAGTGTCCCTTGTACTCAGGCCTTCCTCCTGGGGGATCAGGTCTGTTCCTCTAGGGATCTAGGTCTGTTCCTCTCCCAGGGACCTTCCTCAGCTTCTTGGTGAGCTTATTTCTAAAGAGGAGCAGGAGATTGCCCTGGGCCATAGAGGAGGTGTCAGATTTTTCTAAAACTCGGCAGGGCATCCTGTTGAGGCTTTAGCCCAAGATATTGCAGTGCTCCACTGTGTACCTTCTCTGTGGGCTACGTGAAGCCTGCAGGCCGTGTGATCCAGCCCCCAACTCGAAGACATTATTGTCAGACCTCCCAAGCTGCTGGAGTCTGGGATCTGTTTGGGATCTTGGGGGGGGGGGGGCAGGGAGAAGAGGAGTCTACTCTGTCTACTCCGACTGTATCAACCCCCCAGGCGTTGTACCCTTCTAGCTTGCCCTAAGCCATCTCCCCAGGCTCCCTGTGAGCCTGTCAGCTGTACAGGAAGCCTTCTGGAACTGGGCCTGGCTAGGAGACTTGTCTTTCCAGTTGTCTTACTCCCAGCTACCCTGCGGGTTTCCACCACCAGCATCTTTTCAGAGTATAGGAATTGATCATGGAGGGAAGTCTTCCTCAACCTTGACATTCTATGCTTGATAATTCTTGGGGGGGGGGGGGGTAGGAGGGGTGACCAGGCCTCGTAGGATGCTAGGCAGCACCCCTGACCCCTGACTTCCATTAACTATCTACTAGTAGCACCCTCAAGTTGTGACAAACAAAATGCCATTAAACTTTGGCAAATGTCCCAGGGGTAAGAGGGCAAAATTGCTTAGGCTGAGAACCACTCATGTACTCTAATACTATAAGCTGTCTCTTCTCAGGGAGCTTCCCAAAGTCAATCCCAGATAATTGGACGAAATCAAAAAGTTCCAATTCTGGGCCTGGGAAGTTGGCTCAGTGGTAGAGTGCTTGCCTCGCATGCATGAGGCCCTGGGTTCAATTCCTCAGCACCACATAAGCAAAAAGAAAAAAGCTGGAAGTGGCGCTGTGGCTCAAGTGGTAGGGCACTAGCCTTGAGCTGAAGAGCTGAGGGACAGCGCCCAGGCCCAGGCCTGTAATCCTAGCTACTCAGGAAGCTGAGATCTGAGGATTCAGTTTGAAACCAGCTGAGGTAGGAAAATCCCTGAGACTCTTACCTCCAAAAGGCTAGAAGCAGAGGTGTGGCTCAAGTGGTAGAGTGTTACCCTTCAGTGGAAAAAGCTAAGGGCAGCGTCTAGGCCCTGAATTCAATCTGCGTACCAGCACGCACGCACACACACACACACACACACACACACACACACACACACACATACACTCCAGTTCTAAAGTCTTTCCCTACTGAAGAACTTCTTGGTGTCCAACAACTTCTCAGCAGAATCTACTTCTGCAAGTGGCATTTAAGCCATCCTATATAGACCATTTCATTTTACATATGTGTATGTATGTATATATGTAATGTCTATGTAGTATATGTTATAGATGTGTGGATAAACATTTATGTATGTATGTGGCATTAGTTTCCTGTTTGTTCCTGTTTAATAAGCAAACTCCTACCACTTGCCCATACTTCAGTCACTTTAATTTTGTTTTTCAGATAGGATCTTCTGATTTTGCCCAGACTTGCCTCAGACGCTTATCTTCCTATCTCCATCTCCCTATGTGCTTCCATGCTCAGCTCTCTCTTTTCATTTCTAGCTATCAGTTGTCCCCCGCTTCCACTATTCCTGAGCTCAGACCAAAGTGGGTGTCTCACCTTTCCCATTTATCCATCTTCACCCCTGCAGTAACCTGCAAACCAGGGATGAGAGGTGGGAAACAAACCATTGCAGAGGGCTTTCTCTTCACTGGGTTCTGTTTCTGAATTGTCCAGAGTCTACCCTATGCCTGCCAGATGCAGTGTGGGCCTCCATTCAGTTCTGGAAGATGCAAGGCCTGAGGTCTCTGACCTCACAAAGGGCAGTCATGGACTCCATCATCCACATGGCCCACTCATCCCACAGAGGAGATGACCAACAAACGTGGTCATCAGCTCTCCATCCCCATACTCCTTTACATTTGAAACCTGTTTGTATCATTAGCATCGTATTCATTGACACTTCTTCTGTGCCAGGTTCCTTTGTCCTATTTCGTCTCCACAGTGATCCCATCATGCCTCATGGCACTCTATCTTCTTGATTTTACTGGCAAACAAACTGTACCTAAGAAAAGTTGTCACTAGCTGAAGGGTACCAGCTCTAGTCCCAGACTTTGTATGACCAGCCTTTCCTAATGTCACTTTTCCCAAGTCCTCCGAAGAGGGTCCCAGGATGGGCTGCTCCCAGGTTGTCTGAGACCCCACCCTTTTTGCTCCTCCCCTTCCCCTTCAAATAGATGCACTCTGGGGAGCTACTCAAAAGGAAGGAGACTCTGGCGGGAAAGAAGAGGGGGCAGGAACAGGGGGATAGTCTGAGGAGGAGGGGGGGCCTAATCTTTGGACAATGAAAAAAGTAGAGAACTGACCTTCTGGAAGACCAGGACAAAGGGCAGGGCCAGGCTGGGCAGAGCCCAGCTGCCCCTCCTTTTTGCTCCCTCCAGCCAGTCCCTGCAGCAGTAGCACCTCCACCACCATCGATCCACCTTCCCAGCAAGCTCCCCCTCTGCCCTACGCTGGGCCTGACTTGGCCGGAGGCCCTCACCTCAGCTGGCACCAGGGGGGAATGGAGGAGCACACTCCAGTGGACTAGGAAGCAAGGATACTTTGGGGGAAAGGAGTCAGGAGATGCTCGCTATCCACCGCTCTCCTCATCATCGGAGAAGAAAATCTCTCAGGGGATATGAGGGGGGGGCTTATGAAGGGGGTGGAAGGGATTCAGAGCCTGGACCACCCAGTTTGGGGCTGGGAGGGACCCAGAAGATTAGAGACCTTAGTAAAGCAGCCGTGCAGGGCTGTAATTACCCCAGAGGAGCAGGAAGACACCAACCCTAGGATGGCTGGAGGAAGGGCGGCCTTCCCCGCCATCACTAGAGAAAGCACAGCCCACGGAGGGATCTCCTTGTGACCCTCCTTCTTGCCTCCTGACGGTCCCCCCCAGGGCCGATTCAGCTGGAGACGGGTTTGGTAGAGGATCGAGACTCGAAGATGCCCGCTGCGCCCCGAGGCAGAGCCCCCAGTTCCAGAGAGGATTGGGGTGGGGGGGCTCCCGACCCCGTTCCCCTAGTCCCAGTGGCGGGTGAGTCACCCGAGAGCTCCCTACATAGTCGGCTCGCGCGCGGGATGTACCAACGCCCGGCCGCGGGGGGAGGCACGCCGGCCGGCGGCCTCGGGGCGCCGCGAAGGCCCCTCGGCGGCGGCCACAGAAGGGGCGTCGGGGGGCTCGCAGCGCCGCGCTCCAGGGCGGGGTCCGGGCGCGCGGGGCGGGCCCACGGGAAGGGACCCCGGGGCGCGGCGGGGGCGGACGTCCCCCGCGTTGCACTTGGTACGCGCCAGCGGAGAGGCCAGGCCCAGCCCGGGCGGTACAATAGGGTTGGGCCGCGGCGGGGACTGGGGCCGGCGCCGGGCCAGGGAGCGGGGCTGCGGCGGACGCGGACCCAGCCCGGGGCGGGCGGCCGGCATCTCGGAGCCTCACAGCCGTCCCAGCCTCGACCTTGGCGGACCACTGCCGCTTCCCAGTCGTTGCCCGCCGGGCGGGGCGGGCGTGATGCGCCGCGGGACCCCTGCCCTGGCCTCGGGCCGCCGCCGCCGTCGCCGCTGAGATTCCCCTCCTCCCCTTCTTCTCCCTCCCCGCTCCCCGAAAACGCCCGGGCGTCGCCGCAGCCATGGAGAGCGGCCCGCACGCGGAGCCGGGTTCCGGCGCATCCCCAGGTATGCCGGGAGCCACGCGGGATCGAGGGAGGGAGGGAGGGAGGCCGGCGGGGGGGGCGCGGGAGGCCGCGGGAGGGAGGCCGCCGACCGTCCCCGCCGCGCCCTCTGACCGCTGGAAGTTTAAAAATAAAAGCTGCGGCGGCGGCGGCGGCCGCATCTTCTGACAGCTCCCCTCCCCCACCGGCGCCCCGCCGCGCCCGGCGGGCGGGGTCCTCTGGGGGGACCCGTCCGGGGACTGGTGGGGGTGACCCCTTCTTCTGTCGCAGTCCCGTGCCACCTCGGCTTCCCCGCCCCCACCGCGGTTTCCATTCCACCCCAGTCCCTGCAGATCCTCTTTTGCCGAGCTGGCTCGAGGGCCCGCCCCTCTCCCCATCCCCAGTGGGCACGCGTGACCCTCGCCGGGATGTGGGTGTATTGGGTGTGGGGGGGCCGGAGGGGTCGTCGTGTCCAGACTCTCGGGCCTGGAGCCCCCGCAGGCCGAAGCCTAGGCCCTGGTGCCCCCCACGCCCAGGCCCTGGCCCAGACCTCGCCCCCACCCCATCCGTCCAGCTGCCGCGCAAAGGGCCTGTTGCTGCTGCGGGCCGGCCGGGAAGGGAGGGGAGAGGAGGAGGAGGAGGAGGGCTCCAGCGCTGGCTGCCAAGTAACCCGCCGAATAAAGGCGAGGGGGGAGGGGGAGGCGGCATTGTTTGGGGCGAGGGCGGGAGCTGGGGAGTGGGCTGCCTCCCCTGCAGCTAGGCCTGCTCCGGAGCCCACCCAGCCCGATTTGGGGAGAAAAGGGGACAGAAGTAGATTTGCTTGTCCTGCCTGTCGTACTAGCCGGCTTCTCTGGCCCCGAATCTCACTGTAGAATGAGGTGAAGGCTCAAGGCCCCACTCCGGGACCTGCCACATCATTCCCTAGTTTGAGGCTTTGAATCGCGCCATCCCTCCTTACACACGCGCGCGCAGCACACACACGCACTCCATGTGCACCCCCCAAAAAGACCGCCAAAGCTTTCCTCCCCACCCCTCACCCCACCAACCGACAGTGTCCTGGACTTCTGCAAATCCCATTCGATCTGGGAGCAGCTGATGAGGGGGTGGGGACAGGTTTCTGGTTGGGCCTGGTGTTGGAGGGAGGGCTCTTTCTTTCTTCCTGGAAGAGAAGAGATGAGCATGATTACCAAGGGCCCGAGTTCTGTTTCCACTGACTCAGGGGGGAGGTGGCCCCATCCCCACACCTCCATGGAGTCCTGAGACTAATCCTGTCACCTCCCTGCCCCCTGGGGTGTGGGCCCAGGATGAAACTGTCTGTGGGTGCGGAGAGCCGGGACAAGGTGGGGCTGCTTGTCTGTGGGTGGGTTCCTCCCCACTGCAGCGTGGGTATTTGAAGAGAACGCTGTGGGCATGGGAGCTAGGAAGATACGGAGGAGGAGGTGCCATCAGAGGTGGGTTTATAAGACCCGTACTGGAAACAAGATGTCTGGGTCTGTCTTGGCTCTGCTGGGTCTGAGAGGGGACACCCAGGGAGACACAGCCTGGTCCATCCATCTGCTTTCTGGCCCTCAGCACCTGAGTGTCCTGGCACTGATGTGTACATGGGAGCCTAAATAGGAGTAGTGATAAAGCATAACCAGTGGCCTATGGCACTTGGGTGGGGTGCCCTGGGTGGGAGGCTTGGCTCTATTGAGGGGTGGGGGCTACATAGTCCTGGGTTGGAAGGCTTGCATACACAAAGGTCTAGAATGGAGACGTTTGAGACTCTGCATCAGGAGGGTCACCTGTGCCTTCACTGAGAATTGAAAGGGCCATAGTGCCCTGTGAGGAGGCAAGTAGTAAATGCCCCTGGCATAGGGTGGGCCTGATCCTGTGCGTGCCAGTCCCTGTCCTCTTGGGATTCCTTCTGTGCACTTGCACACGGCATTAGCAGCAGGCCTCGTGGGGCAAGGGACAAGTGGGACAAATTTTTAGGGATCAGAAGACTTGAATGGAGGGGCTGGGAAGATGGCTCAGTGGTAGAGCGCTTGCCTTGCAATGCATGAGGCCCTGGGTTCGATTCCTCAGCACCACATAAGCAAAAAGAAAAAAGCCGGAAGTGGCGCTGTGGCTCAAGTGGTAGAGCGCTAGCCTTGAGCTGAATGCTGAGAGACAGTGCCTAGGCCCAGAGTTCAGGCCCCACAACCGGACCCAAAAAAAAAAGAAGAAGAAGACTTGAATGGAAATCCCAGTTAGCTGTTTACTGGCTTCTGGACTGACTAGTAGATCCTGGAGCTAGCTTCTGCCCTTGGAAAACAGGATAGTGTTATCTCGCCTGTGGGGTGACGTGAGGGTTAGACAGGATGAACCTAAAGCAACCTGGCACACAAGCACAGACACCCACAATGAAGTGTTATTACCATTATTGTGGTTATGCTCATTGGAACTGTTGCCAGGAGGGAGGCATGAAATACGGGCGAGGGAGGGGCAGGAGTTGGGAAGCAGTTTGTTTAAGAGTGTAGATTCTGGAATCAGTTTAAGTTCCACTTTGTAACTTGTTATTGTGTGACCTCAGGTAAATTACTTAACCTACGTCTGAAACTTTCTCATCTATTACATGAGAATATGGAGTTAAAAAAAAATTTAAGAGGTAAAGATGTAGCTTAAGGTGTAGAATGCCTACCTAGCAAACACAAGGCCCTGAGTGCAAACCTCCATACACCTCAAAAAAATTTTTTTATGAGAATAATGCTATAAATGATCCCTCTGACACATTAGAATCATTAAATGAGATGAACACATAAAACTCTCAGCATAGGCTGGGAAGATGGCTCAGTGGTAGAGCGCTTGCCTTGCATGCATGAGGCCCTGGGTTCAATTCCTCAGCATCACATAAGCAGAAAAAGCCGGAAGTGGTGCTATGTCTTAAGGTGTAGAGCGCTTGCCTTGAGCTGAATAGCTGAGGGACAGCGCACAGGCCCAGAATTCAGGCCCCACGACTGACCGGCAAAACAAAAACAACAAACAAACAAGCCTCTCAGCCTACTGGTCTGGGAAGGTGGCTCAGTGGTAGAGTGTTTGCCTCGAATGCATAAGGCCCTGGGTTAATTCCCCAGCACCACATAAACAGAAAATGCTGGAAGTGGTGCTGTGGCTCAAATGGTAAAGTGTTAGCCTTGAGCTGAGAGCTGAGGGACAGAGCCCAGTCCCAGAGTTCAAGCCCTATGGCTGACCAAAAACAAACAAACAAAAAAACCCTTTCAGCCTAGGCTTTTGTGTGTAGTTAGTGCTCAAAAGTGCTAGCACTCTGGTTTCTGTTGAGATAATTTCATATTCTTCAGAGGCCAGCGGAGGAGGTGAGATGAAGTAGAACTTCAGGAGCTAAATAGGACAGAGGGCTGGGAGGGACTTCTAGACAGATGTGGGCTGGGGTGTATCTGACACCCTGCCATGTGCCAGCTGGGTGATGGCTGTGCTGACGGTAGAGGAGTGAATCAGAGTCCCTGCCCTCCAGGGATACGTGCTTCCGGAAGGGGCAAGGAGATATGCTCACATGTGTCTGAGGGAAGCCAAGTACAATAATGGGCTCTGCTTGTGGAAGGCTTCATGGTGGAGGCATTTGAAGTAGACTCAATGGATGAGCAGAAATTAGTGAGGCTGGCACAAAGAGCCACAGGTATCCATGCAGCAGCTAGCCTGGCTGGTACCTCCCACCAACAACCCTCTCCCATGGGCCCAGTAATGAGGCCTCTAATGAGCCTCTAATATGCATCCATGCATATTTAAATTAGGCATGAGGGCACTAAGCCAGCGTATCCCCCTTCCTCCCAAGATGGGCACCTGCTGTTGATGGGGCAAGGGAGAGAGGAGGCACAAGAGGCTGGATGCAGGGCTAGAATGGTGGCTATGGAAGCCTGAAAGTGAGATTTTTAGAAAGAGGGAACTATGTCCTTGTTTCTCCGCTGGGTCTCAGGGCCAGAGAGGAAGCTAAAGAGCCAGGCTAAGATAATGCAGCCTTGTTGGCCTGTGGTAGCTCTGCCTGGCACCCCAGGGCACAGCCTCCAGTGTGTCCGCCATCACCTCTCAGCTGCAGCTCTGCCCTGGTAGAGCTGGTAGACAGCCTGCTTTCTTTTTCCTCGTAGTGCTCCTCACCAGTTCTAAGCAGAGCAGATGTAGGCCCCGCATGGACTCCCTGGTGAACCAAACTCGCTTTCACGTGTGGTTTCCCACTCCCAATTTGTTAAGGGCCTTAACTGTACCAGGCACAGTGCTCATGACTACTGTCTCGTTCATTCTTCATCATAGTCCTTGAGTAGAGACCTAGTATTAGCCCCATTTTACAAATGAGGCCCAGAGAGATGAAGTCACTTGCCTAAAGTCACAGAGCTGGGAGCTGGCAGAGGCAGTGTTTGGACTCCATCTGACTGTAAAGCCTGCCTCCATAGTGGATTACCATGACAAAGCCAGTCAGTAGCAAGGTCTGGCTCACTTTTCCATAATGGGGTTTTGAGGACCCCTTATCTTTTTGCCAAGCAGAGATAGAACCAGTTGAAGATTCTGAACAAGTTGGTCCAGAAAGAGGGCCCAGACCCAGGTGGTGACAGTTTAGCTAGTGGGCTGTCCGCAGACCGTAGCCTGAGGCTAGGCCTTTGCCCTTCTCATCTGGGCCCTAACCTAGGCTGTTCTGCTGGGGCTGAGGGAGGGACATGGTGGAGCTCAGGCTTAGGGATGGGGTCATTTCCTGCCGCCTAAAATAACAGGAAGTGGCTGCTCCTGATTGGAGGCTGGGAACAATGGCTGCCAGCAGGGCCTGGGAGCTCCTTCTGATCTGCAGACTCAGTAGGGCTTCTATCTTACCATATACCGAAACCACAACTTGGCCTCAAGGACCTCCAGCCCAAAGCTCAACTTCTCAAGCAGGCTGCTCTCTCCAAGTGTGCTGCTCCCTTGCCCAGCAATGGTTAGTTCAGCCAGGCCAGCAGTTAGGCTGTCCCTACAGTACACTGCCCTGGCCTAGCAATCAGGCCTCTCTGGGCTTCTTCCTTC